GGGACGGTCAAACTCGAGAGGGTTCTCTGGTGTATTCTCCTCCTTTTTCCGCTTAACAGACTTTGATCGTGAGCGAGTGTTTGCTGTATTGGTAGGTGGTGTCCTTTGCATAGTTCACACTAGGTGTCGTTGTAGGCGGCGAGTTTGCGCAAATATGTGCGCAAAGAATGTGCACAGAAAACGTGTGCAAAGTTGTGTGCGCAGATATGTGCGCAGAGAATGTGCGCAGTAAACACAGAAGTGGAGACACTGACGAAGAGAATCACTAACACAGGTAGTGAGACTCACCAGTAGGTAGCGCTGGATGTCACAAAAAGGTGTCGAACACAGAAAACGTCGTGCGTAGTTGGTGCGCAGATAAAGTTTTTAAGTTTTGAAGAAGACGTTATTGATGAAAGAAGGTCGGTCTTGTGTAGAGTCGAAAAACAGTCAGTTGTGTTTTAGCCGTTGAAGAAGGCAGACGTGCAAAAACATAGAAAATATAACACTTTTTAGACAAAAATGAGAGCATTTGAAGAGCATATAAAAATGCGACTGCTCTCATTGAGAGCTAAACTGCGAATAATCTGATAATCAACCTCCCGGTCCGTGCCGCAAATGCTCCCAAGCTGGTGTCACTGCTTGGCATTGGCATCGCGAGTGTCGTAGACAATGGCCAAATATCAGAAATTTGGCTACTCAACAGTCAGCAAATAATCCATTTGTCCAGACAAATCGACCAAATCAAGCATCATATAGAGATAGATTCAATGTGAATCCGCGACCTCAAGGCGTATCATATTTTACTGGAGACGATAATCAGTCTGAGGACATCATCGCTCAGGGAAACGCTTTGGGCGGTCGTCATTAACTGAGATCGCGGTACGGGTCAACGATATTCCTACTAAAGCAGTTATCGACTCTGGTGCTACCATAAACATAATGAGCACAGCTTTTGCCAGAGTACTCAACAAAACGCCTGACCCACGAACCGCTATTCCCGTTGCAGGAATCAATGGGATTTCTCAATCAGACGGCCGCCTAACAATCACTCTTCGCATCAACAAAACAGTACTTAAAGTGCACGCGCACGTCCTCAAAGACTCTCCCAAGCCATTCATCATGGGTGACGGCACCTGTGCTGACTTCGGCTTGCATCTCGACTTCAAACGGAAGCTCGTTACACAAGAAACCTCACTCTCGTCGCAAAGACAGCTCTGTCTCACTACAAGCCGACCAAAGATTTCCGGACTCAACGCGGGTCACATAAAAGTCAACATGACATCTACTCAATATGAATCTACTCCAATGTCTACACGACTCGTACTGAAACAGTACCCTCAATTATTTTCAGCGGATCCTAATGACGTGGGCCGCATTCCAAACGTATCTCATCACATTCGACTACTTCCTGAGCAGCAGCCAATACATCAACGACCTTATCGCCACTCGATCGCAGATTTCAACGAAATCAGAAGACAAATTAAAATACTACTCGACAAGAAACTAATCCGTCATTCAAAGTCTCCATTCGCTTCACCAGTAACACTCGCAAAGAAGAAAGATGGATCCGCGAGACTTTGTATTGACTATCGACGACTTAATTCTATCACAATCGACGAACGTGAACCTCTTCCCCGAATTCAAGACATTATTGACCAACTATCGAACTCACGTAGATTTTCGTCACTCGATATGGCATGGGGCTATTGGCACGTCCCTATGAGTAACGAATCAATCGAACGCTCAGCATTTGTCACTCCCGACGGTCACTATGAGTGGCTTGTTCTTCCTTTTGGTCTCAAGAACGCTCCGCCAACATTTCAACGAATCATTCGACATGTATTGGGAGACCTACTAAACAATGGTGTGATACCATATCTCGACGACATAATAATCCACGCGCCGGATCAGCGTTCGCATGACCTCTTATTGAATAATGTACTTCAGCGTCTACGTGAAGCCAATGTTAGACTTCGTGAAGAGAAGTGCAAATTCGCAGTGACTTCAGTAGAATATTTAGGTCACGTAATAGAAAACGGAACCGTATCTCCGGCACCATCTAAAAGTACAGCAATCCGCAATTATCCGACACCCAAAAACCAACACGATATCCAACAGTTCCTCGGTATGTGTAACTTTTACCACAGATTCATCAACAAGTACTCATCGATAGCTGAACCATTAACACGTTTGACACGTAAAGATAATCTGTTTATTTGGGGTACCGAACAAATCTCTGCTTTTAATACTCTCAAAGAGGCTCTATCAACACCGCCAGTGATGGCTATCTATAGAGATGATAAACCAGTAGTAATTCATACTGACGCCTGTAAAATTGGAATCGCAGCGATCCTCATGCAACCCGACGATGATGGGCACAAACGCGTAGTGTCGTACTACTCACGTAGAGTTAATATTCACGAAAGCAAATATACTACTTCCGAGCTTGAATGTTTAGCCGTTATTGAATCAATGGAAAGGTGGCATATATACGTTCACGGCAAACATGTTGACATCCACTCTGACCACTCAGCACTACAATGGCTATTGAATATCAAAATGACTTCAAATAATCGACTGTTTCGGTGGTCAGTAAGACTATCTGTTTATAACTATACAATTCATCACAGACCCGGCGTTCGTAATCAGGCAGCGGATGCATTATCTCGTAATCCGGTAATATCGCTTCTTATTGATCAAAATCGTTTGAAAATGGCTCAACAAAAGCAAAACCCAATGACTCATAGTGAATCCGGAAATCATAATGAATTCGCAACTCATTATGAGTCTTGGAATCACATTGATTCAAAATGTCATATTGATGATAATGGGATAATAAGGTATAGACATAAAGGTCTCAACAGATACTACGTGCCTCCGACGTTACAAATAGAGGTTTTACGCCATTATCATGACGATATGGGACATCCGGGAATTGCCGCGACAACACAGTTGCTTACTGGACATTATTGGTGGCCATCGGTAGATGACAGTATAAAATCATACGTCAAAACTTGTAAAACTTGTCAATTAGTAAAACCTTCAAACAGGAAATCATTAGGACTCCTACAACCTATTCCAACACCGATTTTACCAAACATTTTATGGGCAATGGACACAATTGTCATGGGATCGACTGGAAGCGCAAAATCAAAATACATTCAACTAATAGTCGATCATCATTCTCGGCACGTATGGACACAAGTAACCGCCGACAACAAAGCTAAAACTGTAGTCAGATTCATGAAGAATCTCATCGAACTCATAGGGAGGCCCGAACAACTCATTACCGACAGAGGAACTAATTTCATCTCAAAGACATTTGCTGAGTTCATATCGAAGCAAAACATAAATCACACGTTATCATCACCGTATCATCCTCAAGCCAATGGTTTATGTGAAAAAGCAAACCACATCATCATAACTAAACTTAAATCAATTCGACTCGATCAACCTAACAGACATTGGTCAAAGCTTCTACCCGAGGTCGTTGATCAATATAACCGAACACCACATGGAACAACAGGATACTCACCACAATTTTTACATTTTGGAATTCCATCTGACGCTCTCTGCGACACGAAATCTCTTGACATCGCTAGACAAGAGTCAATAAGACGCTCAGATGAAGACAAAGAGAAGCGAAAACAAATTCACAATGAATCCCACACAGCATCCAATTTCAAAACCGGAGATCTAGTTGTGCGCAAACTTGCAGCACATCATCCATCAAAACACAAGCTTTCACCTACAAATACGGGACCATATATCATCATCAGGAGTCTGGGTGATGAAACTTATGCTATTCGACCAACTCATGATGAATCCCCGGACACTTTATCCTACGTCGCGCACTCCAGTCAACTGAAGCCGTTCAACCTCCGTGCGAACGATAACGGCGGGGGAATGATGCCAATAGATGTCAACCCTACCCTTCCTAGTACTAACCCTTTCATACCTGATTGACCATTGACTTACCTTTCCCTATATAAGCACCTGTAATACATCCGCATCGCTCTCTAACACTTTACCTTTTACTCAGTACACACCTGAGATATCATTACCAATTATTTTTATTATTTACACGTGTTTTACTATTTATTGGTTTTATTAATAAAGTTAGTTATTATTGTGCATTCTCTTTGTGTATCATTTTAACAATATTGGTACTCTTATTGACGTCGCCCGAACCAGCCGTCATCGTGATTCCCAGAATCACTCTGACTTCTACATTACCATAACTCACCCCGTCACCGTAAATCCCAACCTCACATTGAGTTCTATCCTCACAGTGAACCCCAAGCGTCACCCTGATTACCGACCTCATCGTGAGACCCGATCTTAAATAATAATAGCATCAATATTATTAAAATTGTATTTCATTACATTTATTACATTTATTGAATGCATTAAACAAAATTACAATAAGTTATAAATAAATAGAAATATATAATTTTTTATATTTTCACAAATTATTAAATGTATAACTAAACTAATTATACATATTATTGATGTTATCTTAACCTGGCTCAAAATATTCCGCCAAAGTTATACATTATTCCGCCATCAACAACAAGATTGATACCGGTAATAAACTGTGCCTGATCACTGGCCAAAAATGCCACTCCCTGTGCAATGTCGATGGGTTGGCCCAATCGTTTCAATGGTGTCCGGGCAATAAATGCTTTCAACATTTGTTTTAATACTTCTGGATCTACACCATCGACTTTTTGCAAGTTGGTCATCGTTACACCCGGACTATAATGTTTTAGTTATTTATTATATATAAATATATATAAAAATTAAAATTATTTTTAATAATAATATACAATAAAAATAGTTATTTACTTAATAGCATTGACTCGTATATTGGGTGCCAATTCCAGTGCCAAAACACGGGTCATCATATCGATGGCCGCTTTGGATATATCGTAAGCCAATGAAAATCTTGACTATAAATTAAATTAAAAAAAATAATTAATTAATTATATCATTAATAACTTAAATTGTTATTTGCATTATGGCATTACTACTGTACATACCGGTACCATTGATACGATGCTCGATGTGCTAATGATAGTACCGTTAGTTTTTTGTAGATACGGTGCAGCGAGATAGCTAAGCTCAACGTATGGTCTCAGATTGACAGCCATAACCTTATCAAATATTGACATAAATTTAGTATCGTTTAACATCGACAACGGGGCGATACCGGCGTTGTTGACCAACACATCTAACTTTCCGTACGTATCGATTGTTTTCTTTAGCAAATCAGTTAATTGTTTATCGTTTGAGATGTCGGCCACCACTTGTAACGGCTATAATAATATTAATAATAATTAGGATTAAAATTACTAAAAAAATATCACAAAACTTTTATATCAATTTTTATTTAAACAAACCTTTAGTTTTTTTGGCGATAGATTTTGACATTCATTGGCCACTATTTGTATTTCCGTAACGTTTCTACCGGTGACCACTACATTGGCTCCAAATTGAGCAAATAGTTTGACAATTGCAGCGCCGATACCACTGCTCGAACCGGTAGTCAATACAACTTTGTCGGTAAAATCGTATGACTTTTTTGGGTCGAACTGCAATTTGGCTGTTTGTCTGACTCTACGTTTGGCACCGTTTAGAGCACCGATACATAGGACAAGTAGTACGAGAATAGCAATTGATTTCATATTTTTTAATTAAATTAATATAAAAAAACACTTTTTGCAACTAGTATTATATATTTAACAATATTTTAAGACTTAATCTTAAATATTAAAGTTTAAGCAAATAACTAATTTTTTTATTAACTTAAATCTATTGTAATTGTTTTAATAATATTAGATGTGCTCAGTATTTATAGTTACAAAAATTTGCTTAATTATTATTATTATTTTTTTGGTACACTAATGTACTTTTCAAAATTTTCAAAAAAAACTTGAAAAGTTTTGTTTTCTGAAATCTATACGAGCTTTTTGTGTGTGTGTGTGTGTGTGTGTGTAGCAATTTTTTTGCGAATTTTGAAATTCTGACTTTAGATTCGGTTAGAGGACTACTAATAATGTATTGAAAAGTTGAATTAAAATTTTGATATTTCTTCGGGAACATGGACAAAATGGCGGCCAAAGTAAAAAAAATTTTAAGAAATTTTTTTAAAGTATAGATTTGAATAAAGCATCAAAAACAAGCATAAGAAATATGCATTAAAATTTTCATATCTCTTCGGGATCATAAAGAAAATGGCGGCCAAAGTAACAAAAATTAGGTAAAAATTTTAACGTTTAGAATTGTAAAGAGCATCAAAAATATGATATAATATTTCAGCATATTTTTTTAAAATGGCGGCAAAAGTATAAAAAAAATTTTAGAATTTTTTTTAATTATAGATTTGAATAAAGAATCAAAAACAAAAATAAAAAAATATGCATTAAAATTTTGATATCTACGGGAACAAAAAGAATAAGTATAAGCGGCAAAAGTATAATTATAAATGATTATTTTGTTATACTAAATCATTTGATACCCTACATGACTATAGTTGTTTATTTTGTCAAACCGAGTTATTTGATACCCCACATGACAAAAGTTGTATTTATTTTGTTATACCTAGTCAATTGATACCCTAGATGACTATAGTTGAATTTATTTTGTTATACCTAGTCAATTGATACCCTACATGACTATAGTTGAATTTATTTTGTTATACCTAGTCAATTGATACCCTACATGACTATAGTTGAATTTATTTTGTTATACCTAGTCAATTGATACCCTACATGACTATAGTTGTTTATTTTGTCATATCGAGTCAATTGATACTCTACATGACAATATTTATATAATGTATATTTGACCAGTTTTTAAATTTTTATATATTATATAGCCGCTATAACTAATGGTTTTCAATGTTATACAAGTTTTTTTTCTGAAAATGCTTTCTAGCATTCTTAACTGGTTTTATATAAGATTATTATAACATATAAATGTTAGACTGTTAGTGTTGGCAAAAAAAGTGAAATTTATAAATTAATAGAGAAATTTCTAGAAAGTTTCTAAAAGAAATTTCTATCTATGGGATCCCCATGGTTAATTTTGTTCTATCGATATTTGTTAACTTGTAACATTGTTATTACAAGTAATAGTTAAATATTATTATTAGTATTTTAATTATTAATTAAAGTAAAAATTAATTAATTTATGTAACTATAATATAATAAAATGATGAATAAAATTTTACAAAACTGATTATTATTAGATAATTATAATTATTTATATACAGGTATCCCATTTGTATAATATTATGTCTCATTAATATATTTATAGTATTTCCAATAACTATAGATATGGGGATCCCATAGTATAACAATAAAATTAAATTTCTATAGAAATTTATTCATGAGAAATTTTCTAGAAACTTTCTCACTGAAATTTATTAAAAACTTTCTATTTGTCCATCTCTATATACTTTTTCAATAAATACATGTATATTAAGATATCAATAAATAACAGGTTATCCTATTATAAATTGAAATCAGTATTTTCAATGTTCAATGAAAAATTACATTAATTATTTTTCGGTACATTATTGCACTAATAATAATATGATATTATTACTAATAAGATAAATCATTTCTAGATTTTTCTAATACAACTTTAATTGAAGTGAATATATGAAACAAAAAATAAAAATAAATATTTTTATCTACTTAAACACTTTACACACATAAAAACAATGCCATATATCTAGTAATAAAAATTAATTAATTATCATAGAAAATGTATTATATGTTCAAATATAACGATTTTCAATAAATTTCCCTTTCATATAATAATCTAAATAAGCAGTTAATAATTTATAGCTAGTTATCAAATAATAACTAATTATCAATTAATTTAGTTTAAATATGTTTAGTTGTATTGTTATGTAAATTTTGACGCATCAATACATTTAAAAATGCAAATGTAAGATATGCAGCATTTTTTGTATTTTATAAAAATGTTTCATAACTATTGATTTCGATGGCCAATCAAAATTATATTTTCAATATAAGTTAATTATTGTCTATAGTTTTATTTAAAGCTTTAATAAAAATTTTTGACGGATCAGCTAAGTTAATGAAAATTGTCATCAATAGTTACCTTCATAACTAATACATTTTATTGGATTATTTTATTATTATAAAAATATACTTTATTCTAGTGATGCTAAAATTGATCTGAATTTATTTATAAGTTGAATATTCAATTGAAAAATTTTGAAAAATTCAAATAATTTATTTAATTTATAAAATAATAATAAATAATTTAATTTTATATTATATGTAACACGACTACAATTTTTTGTTTATTAAAAACTAATGTTTTAAATGTGTTTATAAAATTATCTAATTATTTAAATATAAATTTATGTTTAACACAGAGAACACTAATTAATCAATTATTTAAAATAAACAAAAAAAATATTTAAATAAAACTTATTTTTTTAAAGATAGTTCTTAAAACATATATAATGATAATAATATATAAATAATTTGTATTAAATTAAAAAAATTATCAAAATAGTCCACCGACAGTATAATGTAATCCGCCATCAATAACAAGATTGGCACCTGTAATAAATGATGCCTGGTCACTGGCCAAAAATACCACACCCTTAGCCATGTCCATGGGTTGGCCCAAACGCTTCAATGGTGTGTGTGCGACAACCAGTTTTAAAAAGGCCTCTATTATAACCGGATCTATTACCCCGTCGTGAAAATTTGTTTGAGTCAATCCGGGACTAAAAAAAATTGTTAATATTTTTATATATTAATATATTTTGCAAAATATTTAAAATATTATTAGTTATTTTATTACTTAATAGTATTGACTCGTATATTGGGTCCCAATTCAAGTGCCAACACACGGGTCATCATATCGGTGGCCGCTTTAGACACAATGTAAGCCAAATTATTTTTTAGCTAATTTTTAAGATTAAAATTTTAATTCATAGTGTTTTAATATATATATATTCATTTTTTATTCATACCGGTGACATTGTCAAACTGCTAGATGTGCTAATAATAGTGCCGTTAGTTTTCATTAAATAAGGTACTGCCAGATGACTCAACTGAACATAAGGTCTTAGATTAATTGACATAATCTTATCAAAATTTTCCATAAATTTAGGGTCTACTATAGGTTTTAGTCCGCCTATACCGGCGTTGTTGACCAAAACATCTAACTTTCCGTACGTATCGATTGTTTTCTTTAGCAAATCAGTCAATTGTTTGTCATCGGACACATCGGCCACCACTTGTAACGGCTAGTAATATATTATATGTTATTTAAAAATATTAATTAAATTTTTTATATATTAATTTAGACTAACCTTTAGTTTTTTTGGCGATAGATTTTGACATTCATTGGCCACTCGTTGTATTTCTGTGGCATTTCTACCGGTGACCACTACATTGGCTCCTAATTGTGAAAACAGTTTAACAATATCTTCACCCATACCACTGCTCGAACCGGTAGTCAATACAACTTTGTTGGTAAAATTGTATGTATTTATCGAATCAAACTGCAATTTAGTACCGTTTAGAGCACCGATACATAAGACAAATAATATAAGACTAGCAATCAATTTCATTTTTTTGTTTAATTTGCATTAACTTATATTAAACTACTAAAATACAGTATAATATAATAACAGGGACTATTAATAATTTTAAGCAAATTAATTTTATTAGCTTAAATCATTAAAATTAAGTTAATTGTATAGAATGGGTACCTGGGTCATCTATTTATTTGTAAAAAAATCTATATAGTACACATGTTTATAGTACACTCAGTACAGTACAATATTTATCAATATTTAGCAATATTATTGTTAATTGAGATAAATATTAAATTTATTAATACAAATACAACTTTGATTGAAATGAATAAGTGTAACAAAATTAATATTTTTATCTGCTTTAAACACTTTAAACACAAAAAATAAAATAAAATTTGGATAAAATTATATTATAATAATAATAATATCAAATATTTTTATGATAATACAAATATTGTATGATTTGTATAATAACAGAAAATTAATTAATATCTTTAATAACTATTTGTCAATATTATTATTATTATTATTCAATTCAAGTATGTTTTATGTTAACTTATATTAAAATCATTAATAGCTATTAACTAATCTGCAATTCCACCCGAATTATAATGTAATCCGCCATCAATAACAAGATTGGCACCGGTAATAAACTGTGCCTGGTCACTGGCCAAAAATGCCACACCCTTAGCCATATCCATGGGTTGACCCAAACGTTTCAATGGTGTCCGTCCGGCAACCAGTTTTATAATAGCCTGTTTTACAGCTGGATCTACGCCCTTAATATTTAGAAAATTTGTGTCAGTCAGTCCGGGACTAAAATGATATTTATTTTTTAAAAAAATAATATAATTAATAAATTTTCAAATTAACACTAAAATAATAATAATAATAATTAATATATACTTAATAGTATTGACTCGTATATTGGGTCCCAATTCCAGTGCCAATACACGGGTCATCATATCGACGCCCGCTTTGGACACATCGTAAGCCACTTGATTTTTTGCCTAATTTTTAATTAAATAAAAATTTTTAATATATATCATATATATATATATATATATATATATATATGCATACCGGTGACATTGTCAAACTGCTAGATATGCTAATAATAGTGCCGTTAGTTTTCATTAAATAAGGTACTGCCAGATGACTCAACTGAACATAGGGTCTTAGATTAACTGACATAATCTTATCGAAAGCCGTCATAAATTTAGAGTCAGCTATTGGTGTTAGTCCTCCAATACCGGCGTTGTTGACCAACACATCTAACTTTCCGTACGTATCGATTGTTTTCTTTAGCAAATCAGTCAATTGTTTGTCATCGGACACATCGGCCACCACTTGTAACGGCTAATAAATGTTATATATTATTATATAATAACTAGAATTTAAGTTATCAAACAAAATTTTTTTTAACAATTACTACACAAACCTTTAGTTTTTTTGGCGATAGTTTTTCACATTCATTGGCCACTCGCTGTATTTCTGTAGCGTTTCTACCGGTGACCACTACTTTGGCACCAAATTGTGAAAACATTTTAACAATATCTTCACCCATACCACTGCTCGAACCGGTAGTCAACACAACTTTGTCGGTAAAATCATAGGTCTTTTTTGGGTCAAATTGTGATTTGGCTGTTTGTCTGACTTTACGTTTAGCACAGTTTAGAGCACCGATACATAGGACAAGTAGTAAGAGAACGGTAATAGATTTCATTTTTTGAAAAAAAATAAATTAACTAATTATTAGTAAATAATGTAAAATAAATGAAACTATATTTTATTATATTGATATTTGAAACAATTGTAAATTTTATTAACTTAAATTGTTTTATTTTATTTTAGTAAAGATTACCTGGTATTTATATCTGTAAAAATCTATCATATTTTACATTTTATTAGTGCTTTTTTGTAATTATATAAATATAATATTATTATTTAATAAGTTTTTTGGTAAAAAATACTATATAATTAATTCTCTAATTATTTATATATATATATATAAGTTCATTTTGAGCAAATATCACTTAACATTGAAAGTGTATATCCAGTACACTTTTTGTTGTTGTTGTTATTATAAAGATAAGTTGTTAAACAAGATTTTTGATGTTTAAATTAAATAATATATAGTAATCAGGGTTGCTAAGGGGGAGTAGGGTAGGGTAAGAGGTCTTACCCCTTGAAATTTAGTAGAAATTTAGTGGGAATTTATTGGGAATTTTAATGGGAATTTAGTGGGAATTTAGTGGGAATTTAGTGGGAATTTAGTGGGAATTTAGTGGGAATTTAGTGGGAATTTAGTGTGGGAAATGTTCACCCCACCCTATACCCCCATGCATTTTCGATTTTTCCCATTTTACCCTATACCCCCCCTGAAATCGAAAACCCTGATAGTAATAATACTAATAATACTTGAGGTCTAGTTTAGTACATTACTAGTGTATTTATTAATAAAACCCAGTTGAGAATGCTAGATAACATTACACAGATACATATTTTTAATGACTTAAATTATCTTTTATAGTCATATTATAATTAAAATACTCATTGATAATAACCATAAGTTAATATAATTTTTTTACTACAAAAAATGAATATTTTTCTATTATTTTTTTTATTAATATTTATTTATATTTATCATACTATATAAACGTTTGTTGAATATATTTTTTTAAATAAATTATTTAGTTTTTTGTCGAATCAATACATGTTATTGTATTTAATTAAAAAATATTTTATTTGTTTAAATAAAACTTTATTTTACAATTTTCTATTTATTTATGTGCAATTGATAAAACTTTTTGTTAATCATAGTATTATTTAATTTATATAAAAAATTGTTTAAGTAGTGTTCACAACTATAATGTAGTTATCTCTAATTAATAATAATTTTTTATATAATGTAACAACTAATATAATATTATATGAAATAATAATGAAAATTAGTTTTGATTATAATTGAAAATTATCCATTATTCCACCAAAATTATGAACTAATCCGCCATCAATAACCAGATTAATTCCGGTAATAAATGATGCCTGGTCACTGGCCAAAAATACTACACCCTTAGCCATATCCATGGGTTGACCCAAACGTTTCAATGGTGTGCGTCCGGCAACAAAATTAACGAATCCTTGTATTATAGCCGGATCTATATTGGAGTTAGCCGGGGGATCCAGAAAACCGGTTTGAGTCAATCCGGGACTATAATAATATTTATAGAAACAAAAAAATTCTAAAAATTTACAAATTTATTGGTAAAAAATATGAATTAATATTTACTTAATAGAATTGACCCGAATATTAGGTCCCAATTCCAGTGCCAACACACGTGTCATCATATCGATCGCTGCTTTGGACATAATATAAGCCAATTGATATTTAGCCTATTGTTATAATAATATTATTTTTTTAAAATATGTATTATATAATTAAATAATTTAGTTTGCATATTACCGGTGACATTGTCAAACCGGTCGATGTACTAATAATAGAGCCGTTAGTTTTCATTAAATAAGGTACTGCCAGATGACTCAACTGAACATAAGGTCTTAGATTAACTGACATAATCTTATCGAAATCTGTCATAAATTTAGGGTCAGCTATAGGTGTTAGTCCTCCCATACCGGCGTTATTGACCAATACATCTAACTTTCCGTACGTATCGATTGTTTTCTTTAGCAAATTATTTAATTGTTTGTCATCAGAAACATCGGCCACCACTTGTAATGGCTATAAATATATTAAAAAGTATTAATAAACTATTTATATATAAATTTAGACAAACCTTTAGTTTTTTTGGTGATAGCTTTTCACACTCATTGGCCACTCGTTGAACTTCTGTAGCGTTTCTACCGGTGACCACTACTTTGGCACCAAATTGTGAAAACAATTTGACAATTTCAGCGCCGATACCACTGCTCGAACCGGTAGTCAACACAACTTTATCGGTAAAATCATAGGTCTTTTTCGGGTCAAACTGTGATTTGTCGGTTTGTCGGGCTCTACGTTTGGCACCGTTTAGAGCACCGATACATACGACAAGTAGTACGAGAACAGCAATAGATTTCATATTTTTTATAATTATTTAAATTATTAACTTATACTAAATAACGAATATACTAATATTTTAATATCAATAGTATAATAATCAAAATAGTTATATAGTAGAGATAATTTTCAGAAAATATTTATCAATATTTATTTTTAAAATTTCTTACAATAAGTTTATTTTATTGACACGACTATCTGTCACTTTTATTTGCGAAATATTATCAAGTACATTTGTTTTTAGGACACTTAGTGCAATATTTTGTGCGAAATTATACAATTTATTTATTTTTTTATTAAAATAATTTATATAATTATCTTTTATTATATGTAATTTTAGTACATTTTAAAATTAGTCAATATTTACATGTTAACATAGCTAAGATTTTAGTACAATATACTAGTAAACCTTTCAATGTCTATATTGCAATCAAAAAATAAGTTGTTAAACAAGATTTCATATTAAAATTAAATATAATATTAATATATATATATACTGTATATATATATTATATACAGTAATTTATTATTAAACTTTAAATTGTTTTCATAAGAATTTCATATTATTATTAATTTAATTTATAAATTTATTCATGTTATGCCTGTTATATAATGTATTTATATATATATATATAAATACAGCACTTAAATTGCACTTATATAGAGATAGACAAATAGAAATTTTTAATAAATTTCCATGAGAAAATTTCTAGTAAATTTTTTAAGTATAAATTTCTATAAAAATTTTACTTTTATATCAAACCATGTCTATAGATGACATAAATTAATATTATATTAAAAACACACAATAAAGATATACTATATAAATATGATCTCTATATATAAACTTAATATATAGTAATATACTTTAAATATCGATTAAAATACTGATAAAAATATTTAGTTATTATTTGTAATTACAATCTAATGTTAAAAAAGTTAATATGGGGACCCCATAAATAAAACTTTCTAGAAATTTTCCTATTATTTCTCTTTTTTTGTCAATTTTTAACTTATATTACACTTAGATTGCACTAAACTAATCTAAATTAAATTACATTTGAATACTTTTTTTTTGAATAATTGATTTTCAAATAAAAAAATACAATGTCGTCTAAAGATTATATATTTTTTATAACAAAATAAATATACTGTTTATAAATATATTGTTAATATTTAATTATAATTATTAAACATTTGTTAATTTGTTAGACCTTTATTAATATTTTAACAAATCAATACATTGGAAAAAAAAACTTTTATTTTAAAAAATATTATTTGATGTAAAATGTGAAAAATATAATTATTAACTTGTGTTACAATTTTGTGTTTATACATGACATTCATAAAACACTCGTTAATCATAGTATTATATTATAATTTATGTACAAAATAAGTGTAAGTTTAAATAAATTACAAAAATGTTTAAGTATTGTTTATATATATATATATATATATATTTATTTATTTCATTAGATCTTAAAATATATAAATATTTAAAAAAAAGTTATCGTAATTAATAATGTTTACTATTATTACTTATAATATTAGAAATAATTTTTTAAAAATTATATTAAAAATGTTAATTATCCAATAGTCCACCCACATTAAAATGTAATCCGCCATCAATAACAAGATTGGCACCGGTTATAAATGAGGCCTGGTCACTGGCCAAAAATGCCACACCCTTAGCCATGTCCATGGGTTGGCCCATACGTTTCAATGGTGTCCGTCCGATAACCATTTTTGTAATGGCCTGTACTAAAGCCGGATCAAAATCTTGAGTGTCGTGAAAGTTTGATTCAGTAAAACCGGGACTATTATAAAAATATTTATTAAAAATAATAATATTATATAAATCAATAAATATGATAACTATTTATTTTCAAAAGTTATTGTTGTTAAAAAAATATTAATCAATATTTACTTAATAGTATTGACTCGTATATTGGGTCCCAATTCCAGTGCCAACACACGGGTCATCATATCGACGGCCGCTTTCGACATAACGTAAGCCAAGTTATATTTTTGCTAATTTATTATATTAAATATTTAGTATATTTTATGAATAATAATATATAATATATATTTATATATAACTAATGTATATAATTTTTTAATGCATACCGGTGACATTGTCAAACTGCTAGATATGCTAATAATAGTGCCGTTAGTTTTCATTAAATAAGGTACTGCCAGATGACTCAACTGAACATAAGGTCTTAGATTAACTGACATAATCTTATCGTAAACTGACATAAATTTTGGGTTAGCTATTGGCGATGGCTTTCCAATACCGGCGTTGTTGACCAACACATCTAACTTTCCGTACGTATCGATTGTTTTCTTTAGCAAATCAGCCAATTGTTTGTCATCGGACACATCGGCCACCACTTGTAACGGCTAGTAATATATATTATATGTTATTAAAAAATATTAATTAACTATTTGTATATTAATTTAGACAAACCTTTAGTTTTTTTGGCGATAGTTTTTCACACTCATTGGCCACTCGCTGTATTTCTGTAGCGTTTCTACCGGTGACCACTACATGGGCACCAAATTGTGAAAATACTTTAACAATATCTTCACCCATACCACTACTAGAACCGGTAGTCAACACAACTTTATCGGTAAAATCATATATATTTTTCGGGTCAAACTGTGTTTTGACTGTTTGTCTGACTCTACGTTTGGCACCATTTAGAGCACCCATACATAGGATAAGTAGTACGAGAATAGCAATTGATTTCATATTTAATTTTATTTTATAGTAACTAATATAATAAATTTAAAAATAAATCTAATTTTTAAAATAATTTTTTATAAATATTTTAAATTTTTTAACTTTTATTTTCATATACCTATGTAGTAAATTGTATTTTATTGTTTGCACCCTGGTATTTTTATTTAAAAACTTTACATAGTACACATGTTATTAGTGCACTTACACTTAAATTATTATTACATTTTTAGTATCGTTAATAATATTAAAATGACAAAAATATACAAAAATAGTTTAAAATTAATTAAGTTGCTAAACAAGTTTTGATGTTTAAATTTCAATTATATACAGTAATATATACTGTATAGTACTAATACTTATGATTGCTATACTAAAAATACAATACATACAGTATATTGATGTTTTAATATAACATATATGTTTATATTTTAAATTTATTGATAAAATAACAGACATTATCTATTCTAGCTACTTTTTAAAAAAAAATTATTTAATTTGTATTAATACTATCAATTGATAATATTTATGTTACAATTTTTACAAAACTTTTATTATACGATTATTATACCTATATTTCCGTTCACTAGTTTTAAAAAAACATATTTATCAACTGTTTATCTATTAATAATTAATTATAATATAAATTTTCTAAAAAAAACATTTGTCAGAAATTTTTTTTGACGCACCAATACATTAAAAAAAACAAATTATTATTTTTTAAAAGATATTATTTTATTTAATTATAAACTTATGTTACAATATTGTGTTTATTTTTATAGTAGTATCCATATAACACATTTATTAATTATTTAATTATTATATAAAACAAAAAATAAAAATTAATTAAATTAATTCACCCATAGTATAATGTAAACCGCCATCAATAACCAGATTAATACCGGTCATAAACTGTGCCTGGTCACTGGCCAAAAATACCACACCCTTAGCCATATCCATGGGTTGACCCAAACGTTTCAATGGTGTCCGTTCGGCAATCAATTTCATCATAGCCTGTATTATAGACGGATCCATACCCTTAATATTATGAAAGCTTGTCAGAGTAACTCCGGGACTATAATATTATTTTTTTAAAAATAAATAAATAATATTATTATATAAAACAATTACAGTAATATTATTTGCAAATATATTGTTGAAAAACTATAAATTTTTATTTACTTAATAGTATTAACACGTATTTTAGGTCCCAATTCCAGTGCCAACACACGGGTCATCATATCGACAGCCGATTTAGACATAATGTAAGGCAATTGATATTTTGCCTAAGTTTTAATATTAAATAAATTAAATAAAAAATGATTATATAATTAGAGTAAATAATTTAGTTTGCATACCGGTGCCATTGTCAAAGCGCTCGATGTACTAATAATAGTGCCGTTAGTTTTCTTTAAATGAGGAACTGCCAGATAACTGAGCTGAACATAAGGTCTTAGATTAACTGACATAATCTTATCAAAATTAGCCATAAATTTAGGGTCTCTTATCGGTGTCATCCCTCCAATACCGGCGTTGTTGACCAACACATCTAACTTTCCGTACGTATCGATTGTTTTCTTTAGCAAATCAGCCAATTGTTTGTCATTGGAAACATCGGCCACCACTTGTAACGGCTATTATTATTATTGTATTAATATAATTATTAAGATTAATAAACAAAACTCATTAACAATTACTACACAAACCTTTAGTTTTTTTGGCGATAGATTTTGGCATTCATTGGCCACTCGTTGTATATCCGCAGCGTTTCTACCGGTGACCACTACTTTGGCACCAAATTGTGAAAACAATTTGACAATTTCAGCGCCCATACCACTGCTTGAACCGGTAGTCAATACAACTTTGTCGGCAAAATTGTATATATTTTTTGAATTAGCCGATTGTCGGGCTCTACTTTCGGCACCGTTTAGAGCACCGATACATAGGACAAGTAGTACGAGAATAGCAAACAATTTCATGTTTTTAATAAAAACTTTAAATTATACAAAACAATTAATAATGTATAATATATTTATTATTAGTTACTATATTTAAGTTTAGATTTAAACTTTTTAAAAAAATAAACTAATATTATTCAATCAATCTAATTCTATTACTTTAAATTACTAATGCTAAGTTTATTTTATTTGATGGGCTACCTGGTATATTTATTTCAAAAATCTATTTTAGTACACTTGTTTGTAGTACAATCAGTACATTGATTTTTTTATTGATGATTTAAAATTACCAAAAAAAGCAGATATTATTTTCATGATAGATATCTTTTAAATATATTTTAAGATTAATTATTGATAATATTTTTTATATATACATTTTTATAAAGTGATAAGTTGCTAAACAAGATTTGACGTACTTTATATAATATAAAATGTTTTAGTACATTGTAATTATAGTATTATTTTTAAAAATACATCATATACAGGTGCACTTATATATATATATATATATATATAATTTATGTAAATTTGAAAATATAATATATAATTCATATATAAAAAAAATGATTGCAATAAACATAACTGGATTATACTTAAAGAGTAGAAACTTTTTTGTTTTTTGATATGACATTTCAACTAAAAACAATGTAACTTAAAGATTATGTTTTTTTTAATTTTTTGTCTTAATTAGAGTTAAAAAATATTTTATATATATATATTGTTTATACATTATTTATTAAATTATTAATATTTTTAATCATAATTATTATAAAACATTTTTTTTGTTAGTAAAATTGTTTGTCTTTTTGGATCGAAACTAATATTGTTTGGCTGTTTGTCGGAACTATATGTTTGGCACCGTTTAGAGCACCTATACATAGGATAAGTAGTACTAAAATAGCTATCAATTTCATGTTTTAAAAATATAATTATAATTATTATGCTATACTAATCAACTAATAGTAATTAGTATATGTAATAAATTATTACTAATAATATAATTTTGATGCAAATTATATTAATATTTTTAATAAAGTTAATTTTATAATCTTAAATTGATGTTTATTTTATTGACAATTTTCTATATTATATATAAATAATTTTATTTCAGACAAAATTTTCAATAATAATTATAATTATTATATTCATTTCTATCATTTAGTCAATTTTAAGATTAATTATATAAATTTTTATTGCAATATCTCTATAGTTAGTTTATTTTATTATTTAAAATTATAAAATAGGCTTACAATTAATTTAATGGTAAATAAAATATAATGACATTAATATGATTAAGTAGATTGTAATTATTAGTAAAAAAATACAGATACACTTATATATTAAACATTAATTACACTAAATAAACCTAGGTTAAATTACACTTTAATTAGCATAAAAATATTATAAAGTAATAATATAAAAATAACTCTTACTAAATATGAATTTAATTTTTTTTTGTGTTTATAAATATTCAATTATAGTTAATTTATAAACTTTTATATTTTATTTGATTAGTAATTATTATAAGTATATAATTGATTTTTATCAAAATACTTAACAAAAAAGTTTATTATATATAAAAAAATTAATATTGACAATTGTTGTATTGTATTATTACAATAACAAGTATTATAATTTATTTTTTTTTATATTAAAAATTATCTGATATTCCGCCCAAATTATAATGTAATCCGCCATCAATAACAAGATTGATACCGGTAATAAACTGTGCCTGGTCACTGGCCAAAAATACCACACCCTTGGCTATGTCTTGGGGTTGGCCAATGCGTTTCAATGGTATGCGTCCGACAACCAGTTTAGTATAGGCTTGCATTACAGCCGGATCTACACCTTTAACATCTAAAATAGGTGTTTCAGTCAATCCGGGACTTGAAAACAATATTGATTACGAAAACAAACAAAAAAAAACATAATTATTAAATTTGCAAATTAACACTAAAAAATAATTAATTAATTTATATATATATATATATATATACTTAATAGTATTGACACGTATATTGGGTCCCAATTCTAGTGCCAACACACGGGTCATCATATCGATGGCTGCTTTAGATACAATGTAAGGCAATTGATATTTGTCCTAATTTTTAATTTAAATAAATTTTTTAAATAAATATATAAATATTTATAATTTTCTATGCATACCGGTGCCATTGACAAAGCGCTCGATGTACTAATAATAGTGCCGTTAGTTTTCATTAAATAAGGTATTGCCAGATGACTCAGCTGAACAAAGGACCGTACATTAACTGACATAATCTTATCGAAAGCTGACATAAATTTAGGATCACTTATTGGATTCAGTCCGCCAATACCGGCGTTGTTGACCAACACATCTAACTTTCCGTACGTATCGATTGTTTTCTTTAGCAAATCAGTCAATTGTTTGTCATCGGACACATCGGCCACCACTTGTAACGGCTAGTTATATATTATAATAATATTTAAGGGGTAATCAATTTAAAGTAAAGTAAAAAACATTTTATTAAAATACTGGACACTTTGACATTTAATTAATACAGTTTATGTGTGAGCATAAAAGCTATTAGATAATCCTAGAAATACAATTAATCTAAAAAACATTATATAAAGTTTTTTTCTGGAATTAATAAGCAATTAATATTATATATCTATAAACATTACTATAAACATATTTAAATTATTAAATTTTAATAAAAAAAATAAAATAATTAATTTTAATGTAGAAAAATGTTTTTATAATATATTAATAATTAGTATTAAAGTTATTCGCAAACAAACCTTCAGTTTTTTTGGCGATAGATTTTCGCACTCATTGGCCACTTGTTGTATTTCCGTAGCATTTCTACCGGTGACCACTACATTGGCACCCAATTGGGCAAACAATTTGACAATTCCAGCGCCGATACCACTGCTCGAACCGGTAGTCAATACAACTTTATCGGTAAAATCGTATGTCTTTTTTGGGTCAAACTCATAATTCGGTGTTTGACGGACTCTACGTTTAGCACCGTTTAGAGCACCGACACATAAAATAAGTAGTATATAAAAAATGGTTGATTTCATTATTATAAAAATTAAAATTACTAAATTATATTAAGCAACTAATGTAATATATAATAGTAATAATAATTAATTGATATAAATAAAGTTATTAAAAATATTATATATAGTTATATATTTTATGCAAGTAAGTTTTATTTACATAAATCAATTGTTTTATTTTTACTATTGGGTATTTAGTATTTATACTTGCAAAAAATTCAAGTACATGTTAGTGCATTTTACATTGATAATCATGAATAATTTTAACTTATAATAATATATACTGTATAATTTTATATATTTAAAACTTACAGTATATACTTAAAAGATAATTAAAATTATAGATTGTTTTTAATGTTAAAATTTTTGAAATTTCCGTTTAATTTTTTTATATGAAATAATAAGTTGCCAAACAACTTGTTTACCAACATATTAATTTATATAATAATAATAATAATAATAATATATATGCTGTATTAAACATTAGAATTATTTTTCATCAATATTTGATACTTAAATAAAATTATAAAATATAATAACTAAACATGAAAAAAATATTTAATTAATTAAATAAATTTTAATTTAAATAAAATAAATAATTAATATGTTAATACATATTAAATATTGATTTAAATATTTAACTATTTATCTAAATATAATGCTATAATTTACAAAAAAAAAATCTGTAAAAAAATATTGATAGGATTTATTATAAAAGATATTTTGTTAAAGATTTATGTAAGTGATAGTTGTAATAAAATAATAATAATATACTACTAATAATACTTGAGTTTTAGTACACTGTAATAATTATTAATAATAAAAACTTAAAAGCTTATATCACGCAATGATTACAATAATAATAAAAAAATTCAAGTAAATAACGATTTAATTTGTAAAACTTTGTTTTGAATTTTTGCTTCAATGAGTAATTCATTTGAATAAAAAACAATGCAATTTACAGATGTTGGTACAGACAAAATGTTTGTATAATACAATATGTATAATACATTACCAATATTACCATACAAAACAAAATTTAGTATCAAAACCATATATATGGATATAAGCAAAAATAAATAAACATATGATTTTAATTTTTAATTTTATTTCTATTTTATCTTAATTATTTCTTATTATATCTTAGTTTTTTGAAAATATATAATACATGAAATATACAGTATTTTTAGTAAAAACCTTGTATTTTTCCAACCATAGCAGCTTATTGATTGTAAAATTATTTTTTTTATTACTATTACTAATAAATACATACACTAGTATACAGTATGTTTACTAGACATTATTATTTGTTTATATTTAATTTCTAATTTATTTCTTCAATATATAATTATTATTATAATTAATTAAAGAGTTTATTTTGAAAAAAAATCATAAATACTATTATGCTATTATGATAAACAATCATTACTATTAATAGCATAATAAATTTATTTATAGATTCATTGTATGGCTAAATATATCATATTTTTGATAAATAATCTATTAATTTATATTCAATTATATTTTATAAAAATTATCTATTCAATCTCTACATCTGATATTTATAAAAAAATATAGTTATAATTTACAATACAATACATTAATTTTAGAATCATTTTTTTAATTTTAAATATACTTAAAAATATATTATCAAAAACTTTTAGTAATATTTATTATTTCTTAAAGTTAACTCTTAAAACATATATAATTCAGATAATATATTATATAATTAATTTGTAATTATATACAATCTAGAAAACTATTTTGTATTAGAAACTAATATTATCCATTAGTCCACCCGAATTATACACTAATCCTCCATCAACAACAAGATTGGCACCGGTAATAAACTGTGCCTGGTCACTGGCCAAAAATGCTACACCTTTAGCCATATCCATGGGTTGACCCAAACGTTTCAATGGTGTCCGTCCGGCAACCATTTTCATAAATGCCTGTATGATAGCCGGATCTATGCCCTTAACATTTTGAAAATTTGTTTGAGTCAAACCGGGGCTATATATAAGAAAAATAATATAAAATAAAAACATTATAATTAGCAAATTTATTGTTAAAAAATAAATATTAGTTAATATTTACTTAATAGTATTGACTCGTATATTGGGTCCCAATTCTAGTGCCAAAACACGTGTCATCATATCGATAGCCGCTTTGGACATAATATAAGCCAATTGATATTTTTCCTAATTTATTTATATATTAAATAGTTAATAAATAAATTTTTTGTATACTTTTTTGAATAATATTTATTTAAATTATGAATTAATGTTGATTTAAAAAAATCTTAATTCAATTTACATACCGGTGTAAATGCCAGACCGCTCGATGTACTAATAATAGTGCCGTTAGTTTTCATTAAATAAGGTACTGCCAGATGACTCAGTTGAACATAAGGTCTTAGATTAACTGACATAATCTTATCAAAAGCCGACATAAATTTAGGATCAATTATCGGTGTTATCGCACCCATACCGGCGTTATTGACCAACACATCTAACTTTCCGTACGTATCGATTGTTTTCTTTAGCAAATCAGTCAATTGTTTGTCATTGGAAACATCGGCCACCACTTGTAATGCCTATAATTAGTAGAGTATTATAATATAATAATAATAATAATTAGGATTAAAATTACTAATAAAAATCAATTTTTTATTTATATTATTTAGTAATTTAAACAAACCTTTAGTTTTTTTGGCGATAGATTTTGGCATTCATTGGCCACTCGTTGTATTTCCGTAGCGTTTCTACCGGTGATCACTACATTGGCACCCAATTGAGCAAACAGTTTGGCAACTTCGGCACCGATACCACTACTCGAACCGGTAGTCAATACAACTTTATCACTGAAATCGTATGCCTTTTTCGGATCGAACTGTAATTTGGCTGTTTGTCTGACTCTACGTTTAGCACCGTTTAGAGCACCGATACATAGGACAAGTAATACGAGAAAAATTGTGAATTTCATTATTTTTATTTATTCAAAATATATAAAGTTATATTAAGTAGTATTAAAGTACTAATGCCACAAAAAATTAATTTTATTAACAATTATATTTTATTGATATTGGTTTTATTTTGAATTGATGATTTTAATTTTATTATGTACCTGGTATTTATAGATGCAAAAATTTATTTAACTTTTTTAGTGCATTTTTGATTATTGATGATTTAATATTGCACTATTTAGTTAGTTTTTTCTATAGCTTTAGTTTTTTTCTTTAAAACAGTATATTAAATGATAGGTTTTTAAAATAAGATTTGACTTTTTAATAAAATAATATTTTTTATTTATCAATATAATATCAATATGTTTTACTACTGTATTAACTAAATTTTAGTGCAATTGCACTTATTTTACACTTTAGTTTGCACTAAACTAACCTGGCTTACCTATAAATTGTAGAACCTGTTTGTGTTTATTATTATTTAAGTGACTTTTTAATAAAAAAAATAATACATTTTAAATATAGATTTTAAAAATTTATATAAACTACTAGTACTACTAAATATAACTATTTACTAATTTGTTTATATTATTTTTTTGATTTTAATTATTATTTTAAAATTATTTTTCTATTTTATTAATTCATTCATTGATTTTATTTAATTCATTCATAATTATTATAATTAAAATATTTTTATTATTATTACAATAACATTAATCTATTTTACTAGTATATTGAATATATTGCATGCAATTACTTTATATAACTAATTATACTAATAAATATAAGTAGTATTTGTAAAACTTCCTTATTTTAAGTTTTATAATTGAATTAACTAACAGAATAAATGTTTCATTCAATATAATATTACAGTGAAAATATTTTAGAAAATTTTATTAGAATCTGATAATTAATTTTTTTTTAAATATTACTATAGTTTAAGTATTTTATATAATTATTAGTTTTTACTGTAAAAAAAGTTGTTATTAAAGTTGATATTTATTAAAAACATTTATGTTTTATTTATATTTACTTTTAAAAGTCATTTATAAATGTCTAGTGTTTTATCTATAATGTTAACCAATTGTTTACCAAAAAAATATACTTTTCAAAAATGTTATTATTTGATATTAAACTTGATTTATTTTTAAAATTAATTTTTATCATTAATAATTAAAATAAAATAATACCAATAAAAGAAATTTTATTTTTATTTATTGAGTAACTTTTATTTAAATAAAAAAATAACTTTTTTTTATTTCTAATCAAATCTGAGACCGCCATCAATAACCAGATTGGCACCGGTAATAAAAGATGACTGATCACTAGCCAAATAGGCAACTCCCTGTGCCATATCATCGGGTAGTCCCATACGTTTCAATGGTGTTAATCGTATGATCTCTTTAATATAATCCGGATCATCGCTGATTTTGGTCAATGTTACACCCGGACTAATTTAATATTTTTAAAAAGTTATTTATATAAAATATTAAAATTATAAAATATTTTTTTTTAAAGTTTACTTAATAGTATTGACTCGTATATTGGGTCCCAATTCTAGTGCCAAAACACGGGTCATCATATCGATGGCCGCTTTGGACACATCGTAAGCTAATGCCAACTTAGACTATAAATTGTTGTTAAATTATAATTAAATTTAATAATAATTTTTTATACAGGTTCAATTAATACATACCGGTGCCATTGAAGCGATGCTAGATATGCTAATAATAGTGCCGTTAGTTTTCATTAAATAAGGTACTGCCAGATGACTCAACTGAACATAAGGTCTTAGATTAACTGACATAATCTTATCGAAAGCCGACATAAATTTAGGATCAATTATCGGAGTCACAGCACCAATACCGGCGTTGTTGACCAACACATCTAACCTACCGTACGATTCAATAGTTTTGTCCAATAATTGAGTTAATTGTTTATCATCAGAAACATCAGCCACTACTTGTAATGGCTATACCAACAAAAAAATCATATTTTAAAACTTGTAAATATATTATTTTTAAATAAAATATTTTATATACTTTTAGTTTTTTCGGTGACAACTGTTGACACTCGTCGGCCACACTATGTATTTCGGTAGCATTTCTACCGGTGACCACTACATGGGCGCCCAACTGTGCAAACAATTTGACAATTCCGGCACCGATACCACTGCTCGAACCGGTAGTCAATACAACTTTGTCGGTAAAATTATATGACGATAGTTGAGGATTCAAACATCGGATTGAAATAATGATCACTGATATTATTGTTATAATTAATAGTAATTTCATTTTTAAAAAAATATAATTAAATAATAATACTATATTTAAAGTACTATTTTATTGATCGAGTAATTCCCTAATCACTTAATGTAATAATAATTTTAAAGTACAGTAATTTAATAAAATGTTTTTTATTTATTTATTTAATGAAACTTCTTTATTAATTTATATTAATTACTTATAATTGTATTAATAGTATTTCAAGTATTATTTAATATAAATACAATTACTAATTATATGTTATTATTTCATAATTTTTAATAAAGTTTATCAATATATATCATAGAAATAATTATTAATATGTCATTGAAATCTATTAATTTTATTTCTATAAATTTTCAATTATAAATGTCAAGTATTTTATCTATAATGTATAAACAGATTAATAATAATTACTAGTCATAACTAGTATTAAATAACAAAAATTAAAATTTAAACATAATTTTTTTTAAAAGTCACATTGAATTTAATAGTATTAACTAATATTTTTATAAATAATATATAATACAGTATAAAGTTATTAATTAAAGTTTTTTTTATTATTTCATAGTAATACACACACAAAACAATTTTTAAATAACATATACATATTTTTAATCAAATCTAAGACCGCCATCAATAACAAGATTGGCACCGGTAATAAATGATGCCTGGTCACTGGCCAAAAATGCCACACCCTTGGCCATATCATCGGGTAGTCCCACACGTTTCAATGGTGTATGGCTTATGATCTCTTTGATACTATCGGGGTCAGTACCGTTTTGCATATTAGTCATAGTAAACCCTGGACTAATAAAAACAAATTTATTTATATATATTTCAGATATATATATATATATATATATATATATATATATATATATATATATATATATATATATATATATATATATATATATATATATATTTACTTAATAGTATTGACCCGTATGTTGGGTCCCAACTCCAGTGCCAATACACGGGTCATCATATCTATGCCAGCTTTGGAAACAGCATAAGCCACTTCATTTTGCATCTAAAATTAGTAATATTAATAATATTAATTAATTAAATGTAATTAAAATATCTATTACTGTTGTCCTATTATATATACATACCGGTGCCATTGAGTCGATGCTCGATATGCTTATAATTGAACCGTTAGTTTTCAACAAATACGGCACTGATAGATGACTCAGCTGTACGTATGGCCGCAAATTAGTCGATATTACTTTATCGAAAACTGGCATAAATTTAGGATCGGTTACAGCGGCTGTCAAACCGATACCGGCATTGTTGACCAATACATCTAACCTACCGTACGTTTCAATAGTTTTGTTCAATAATTGGGTCAATTGTTTGTCATCGGACACATCGGCCACTACTTGTAATGGCTATACCAACAAAAAAATATTAAAGAATATATATATATATATTTTTTAATTAGAAATTTTGTCATTTGTTTGCTTACCTTTAGTTTTTTCGGTGACAACTGTTGACATTCGTTGGCCACACTCTGTATTTCAGCTGCTTTTCTACCGGTGACCATTACATGGGCGCCCAATTGGGCAAACAGTTTGGCAATACCGGCACCGATACCACTGCTCGAACCGGTAGTCAATACAACTTTGTCGGTAAAATTATATGACGATAGTTGAGGATTCAAACATTGGATTGACATAATGCTCAGTGATATTATTAAAACAAAATTTATTAGCATTTTCATTATAAATTTTTTTAGTGTTTTATTTTTTAATTTACTAAAAATATTTAAGTATATAAAGTGTTTTTGATATATTATACCTACTTTATACAGAGTACACTATTATTTTACTTTATACAGTTTATATATATTAATTATTTATCAATAAATGTCACTAAAATTATTATTTGATAAAATTTTTTTATATTTTATTGCTATTTAACATTCAATATTAGTAATCACATATGAACAGTGATTTCATATTAAATGCGATCCCCTATTATGGTATTATTATTATTATCATTTTTTAATAATTAAATTTATATCAATATGTTTTTAAATACAATGAATAAAAAATTATAAACCTTTATTATATAATTTTTATATATACAATTATAAATATTTAATTATAACATAAAAATTGTTTAATTATAAATTTATTATGAATTAGCATTTTTTATTATTATTATTAATTAATAATTTACTATTTTAACTAAAAATAATAATTTTCAATTTTACAATTAAAATAAATTTATAAATATTTAATATATATTTATATTGATTTGATTGAATAATATTGTTTTATATATAAATAATTGTTTATGTTAATTTTTAATATTAAAATTTTTTATAAAGTATCAACATGATAACTAATTGATAGACTAGGTGGTGGTAAACGTTTTAATAATTTTTGTTTACACATATATGTAAACAAACATGATAAAATTAATACAATAAAATAAATTATTACAGGTATTGTTAAATAATTATTTGTAAAAGCTAATATAATAAATAAAATTATAATAATAATAAATATTACATTATTGATTAGTTGAAGATGATAATTTTCTTTATAAATTGCAATTAAACAAAATAGTTGTATTGTAATTATTATAAATTCAGTGATTAAAGTAAGTGTTTCATATTGGACCTTCAAATAATAATAATAATAATTATTAATATTTTTGTTATAATTATTAAACATTACAAATATTAGATAATTATTAGATTAATTATAGACTATTGAAAAATAAAAATAAACTTAGAAATACTTTATGATAATCCACTGTACAAATTAATATCCATGTTATATAACATAAATATAAAAAATTAATTATATTTATTATTGAAATAAATGTCATCAAAATCCATTTAATACATTGAAAATTTAACATTTGTTTTACTTAATAATACATTACACACAATAAGTTAGCTAATTATTAAAGTATTATACAACTATTTAAACTTAATTATTTAAATAAACTTTAAACTTAATTTTTTAAAACTTATTATTCAACATTTTAATTATACTGATATATAAAATATTAATTGTTAAATTATATTGATTTTTTTTTATTAAAAAAAAGTCATGTGAATAAATACTAATAATATACAATGTATATCAAATCTGTAAAATAATATTTTTAAAAAATGTTTTTTTCCCTAAAATATTTAAATAAAAAAAATATGTTACAATAATTATAATCAAACTTTATATCAAATGAAAAATTATATAAATTTTTTTGAGTTGTTATTAAAATTATTAGTTATAATAACAAAAATTTTCTCTATTTCTCTTATAAATTTTACAATATAACCTTGATAATAAATATTTTAACAATGTATATTTTAAAGCTAATTGTGCTAAAAAAATAATTATTATGTTCTATATTTATTTAATCAACTTTATTTGTTTATTGTGTTAATAAATATTGTATAATAACTACAACATTATTAATAGTTAACCAAACAAATACAGTATAATAAAATATTATGTTATAAATTGATATATTTATAAATATATTATATAATCCTATAGTACAATATTTACTCATCTTTTATAGTATTAAAAAAATTATGATCAACAATAATAATGAATAATATTTTTTTTTGTTATAAATCATTTTTATAATTATATAAAAATTAAGTGTAATTATAATTATGAATATATCTATAATTTATAGATTTTTTCTAAAGTATAATAAAATAATTTATGTTTAATTTACACCGAAAAATTTTCATATAAAAAATAATTACTATAAATAATAATACCTGTAATAATAATTATACACAAACATGCTAAACTATAATTATTTATGATATATAAAAATAAAAATTTCATTAACTTTAATGTCATCAACAAATAATTATTAGTACAATAAATACTGTATTATACACTACTATATATACATTATAATGTGATAATTATCTAAATATAACAATTATAATAATTTATTAATAGTATTTTTTTTAAAATATAATTTTCAAAAATCACTAACTAAAAATAACTCATATGTATTACTAGAAATATTCAGTAGATTATTGTTAAAAAAAATAAATAATAATAATAATAGATATTTTTAGTTTCATCTATTCTAATTTTTAAATAAATATTTTTCAAATAAAATTTTTTGATATTTCTAATTAAATAATAGCTTACAGTCTTTATAATTAAAAAATAATAATATTTTATAAATCGACACAAACCTACCCCCAAAAAAATGATTACTCTATTTATATCACTGGACGCTGTCGGACACGTCAACTCTTGCATAGGTATTGCCCAACAACTGGTCGGTGCCGGACATGACGTCTATTTTCTAATTAGTCGCCAATTTCGGGGACAACTGCAACCACATGGTATCCATGAGCTGTACTACGAGTTCGGGGATACAGATGCTGTGGAAAGTGATGATAATGATGATGAAACTATTGACGATAATCCAGCCAAACGATGGGCACAGGTATTGGCCGATGAGGGACACTTCGACGACCTGTCGACTCTCGATAAGATGATTATCATTAGAAGCAAACGATACGAAAGTTTTTGTTCAGACGCCCAACAATTAGATCCGATTATTGAGTCGACAATCGTCGACATCGGACCCGATATTATAGTTGTCGATCATTTGCTTAGTTTGCCAGCAGTTGAAGTGTCGGGTGTGCCCTGGGTTTGGTCGTGCAGTTGTAATCCATTGTTTCTTATTGATGACGATAGGACACCGCCGTTTGGCTCAGGTATGCAATTATTAATCATAATAACATGTAGTATATCAGATAAATACAGTAATATTTAAAAACAATACATTGTTGACATACACACAAAGTTGATAAAAAAATATTGTTTAAATTAAATAACTATTTTAATATTTAGTTTACAATATTTTTTTTAAAATTTGATTTTCATAAATAATTTTAATAATAACTATGTCTTTAACTAAATAAATTAATTTTTTTTATAATAAAACATTTTATAAGTTTGAATATACAGTATATTAATTATTTTAATCTACAAAACAAACATAACTTAATATGAAAATAATGAAATATATCAATACTTAATTAAGTGCTATATTTTTATATAATATTTTTTCTTTGTATTAGGATATTCAATATATGGCGATAAAAATGAGTACCAATTGTTTCGGCAAACCATTAACGATGCGGGCAGTGATGTGTGGCAACAGTTTAATGATTATTGTGTCGACAAAGGATGTGAACCGTTACCCGATTATCAATACATTCGTTTGTCACCGTTTCTCAATATATACGCCTTTCCCATTGAACTGGACTACACCGATATCAGGCCATTACCGCCGAATGTCTATCAATTTGATAATTTTATGCGAAACGATAAACTTGAGATATTTGAACTACCGGAGCAATTGCAGGACAAACCGGGAAAACTTATCTACTTTTCGTTGGGAACTATGGGTGCAATGGATGTTCAAAATATGAAACGACTGATCGCTATCCTATCCAATGTCGAGCATCGGTTTATTGTATCGAAAGGTCCGCTTCATAATGAGTATGACTTACCCGATAATATGTGGGGTCAGCAAAGTGTACCACAACTACAAGTGCTGCCATTAGTCGATCTGGTCATCACTCACGGCGGTAACAATACTGTCGGCGAAACCATGTTTTTCGGAAAACCTATGATTTTGATGCCTTTGTTCGCCGATCAGTCGGATAATGCACAGTGTGTTGAGGACAGAGGTTTCGGTGTTCGTCTCAATCTTCATAATTGTACGGAACAGGAGATTTTGTCTGCAATCGACAAACTATTAGCCGATAATCAATTGCACGAAAAATTGGCTAATATTGCACAGCGTATACAATCTGATAATAGTATAACAAAAATATCGGAAATATTTGAAAATCTAATTAATTAGTAAAATAAAATATGTTAGATATAAATAACTAATTATTGATATGCTATACTATAAAATAAGTTTAATTTTAATAAAGTATTTTAAAAAATAATAATAATTAACTACTATTAAGCTTTTCATATAAAAAAAACTTTAAAAACCTGCTAAACTATTAATGAATCATCTTTTTGTCTTAATTGCATATAATTTATAAGTTAAAGTTTTAAAAAATCATTAAATTAAAGAATTATTATAATTATATATTTATATTTGGCATTTATTAGACTTTAGATACAGTATAGAATAATAATACGATTATAGATATTAATTAGAAATTTATTTTAAAAATAACATTTAATAGTCTAAGAGAATATAAAATATTTACTATATTTATTTATGTAAATATATTTTACTATTGTTATTTTATTGTATGTTTACATTTATATTTTAGTATTACACAATAAACTGTAATATTTTAATTGCACTATTAATAAATATTATTTATATAATTTTATATTACAAATAAATAGAAGTACCATATATTACTGTATTAACTTTATAATATATAATAAAATAACAATATAATATTGAAATTGTGTAAATATAACTTAGTATTTAAAACTGTAATTTATTAATCAAGTAATTTATATATTACTTATATTTTCAAAATATACACAAAAGTAATAGACCTCTCGTGTCGGGGGAAATTATTATAAATTATTTATAAAATTTATTTATTAAACATATTTTTTTCACTACAGTATATAATATGATATACTCCAATGTATTTATATTAATAAATATTACAATAAATTTATATTACAATTACATATAATAAATTAATAATAATGGTAAACACAATACATTTTTTTATATAATAATTTTATTATTATTATACACAAACAATAAATACATTGCTATCTACTTAACGAATAATTTAATGCTAATCAAAAAAAATAATAATAAATAATTTTATTTAAAAAAAATCTATTTAATAATAATAATAATAATATTTAATTTGACGATTGATTAAAATCTTTTTGTATGTTAAGTGCAATCCAGGGAACAAAATAGGAAACACGGGTATAGACTCCGGGAAATTTAGGTTTAGCACAGCCATTGCCATAGGAAACGACACCCATTTGTACCCATCTGTCGTTGAACGGTACCAGTAGTGGTCCGCCTGAATCTCCCTGACAGGTATCCTTACCGCCCTCATCATAGCCGGCGCACAATTGTTTTTCCGATATACGGTCGGCGCCCGAAAAAATATGATCATTAGCTTCGCTGCACTTGACATTCGTAACAATAGGTACGTCTACTTCGCGCAAATCGTTGGACACTTTACCACCGAAACTGGTGGTTCCCCAACCGATTAGCATCGACTTGCGTCCAGTCAAATCCATTTTTTGCATATCCATCGATGGCAAACATATAGGTGCGACACCCGATCGCCAATTGATCTTATTCTTGAACTTGAAGAGTGCAATGTCGTTCTGGTGACGGGAACTACTGTAACCTTCGTGTACAACAATCTTATCCACGTCCTTGATTTCGCCCCTGTCCTTCAAACGGTAGGCACCGATTTTCAGCTTGAAATCTCTGGGATTCAAACTCAGACAACAATGGCCAGCAGTCATGACATACCATTCGTTGATAATAGTGCCGCCACATATGTGGGTAAAGTTACCGGTGCGCGGACTCTTGAACTGTATCTGTACGGCCCACGGCCACGACATGGGAACCGCTTCTTTGCCGCCAACAATAAAAAACGACGGTTTCGGTGGATCGTCATCGCCGACGTCCACTTCGTTTAGGGAGTTGTCGTCTATTGTATCGTTATAGCCATCGTTATCCCAATCATTACTTTCCAGTTCGCCGTCTACTCGGCCTCTGATGCCATACGGAGTCCGTATACCGCAGGCTATTGTAAATATTATTTATATTAGAAAATCTTATTATTATTTGTTAATAATAATAATAATAACAATAATATTATACTTACGGACTGACAGCTTAGGTAACGGTATCATGTCTTTGTACATTTGATTTGGACAACAGGTGCCCACTTGACTCAAACCATATATGCATTTAGATTTAGTACCCGTAGCCAGATTTGGACAGTTAAACGGATTACCCTTACAAGTGCCCGGAAAACCTTCATAAATGGCACATTTACCTGAATTACCGCTAAACAATTGGGCTACCGGTCCAAACATAATGCTAAATATGTCTTCAATAAAGTTTCCCTTATCCTCTTCATCGGCATTTGGCAATACTGATGATCCATTTCCGTTGCTATTAACGATAACATTGCACTCGACTACTACCAGTGCTAACCATTGTATTATAAGTAATAATTTGATTTTTATCATTTGATATATTATTTCAATAATAATAATTAATTCAATAATAACTATAACCACAGTTTAGTGTTACACTAAACACTAACACACAGTAATTAATTTAATTAATTGTATAATAGACTCATGCAATACAACAAAGATATGTTTAACACAATTATTGTTATTAAGTATATTTCTAATTAAAAATTTCCAAAAAATAGCAATTTTAACATTAATTTTGCTAATTGTGTAATTAAATTTATTATTTAAATATTTAGTTTAACTTTTTTCCCCTAAAAACACATACTTTAAATTAATTAATTAATTAGTTAATTTTTTAGACACTAAATATAAATTAGGTAGAGTTTAATGTTCCCTGAAAAACATATGTCATATACAATATATATGTAGATAAATATTATATAATTTTATGACTCTATCTAAATCGGGTCACAATATGCGACACCACTTATTAGTTGAATATATTTTTTAGCATTATTTTTTGGACCTATTATTATAAATATATTTTTTTATATAATAAAAACTCAGCATAAATGTCAACAATAAATAATTAAGTTATTGTTTTAATTGTTTTGTTTACCAATAATTGTTGTCCAGTTATTTTAATGATATTAAAAATTTGATTAATCATGTTAGCTAGATCATAATTGATAGGCAGTTCATGGTAATTTTTTTCAATGTCATCATCAACAAACATCTAAAATTCACTAATTATTTTAACTATATATTATTGTAAACTAATAGTCATGAAAAAATAATATTCATTTAGATAACTTAATAAAATTAATGCAATTGAAATAGTTTTTTTTCTAATTATATTGGCCTACAAATTGATCTAAAAACTCATTTAATATATTAAATGAAAAAATTGTCAATTACTTAATTAATTTCATTTATATATGAAATCAAATAATATTAATTGATACAAATATTACAAAATTTTCTAATTAATATAGTTTTATATAATTTATATAATCGTTTAATAAATAAAGTTGTTTTTATATTTTCCTAATTAATACATTAATATAATTAAGTGTATTTATCAATTCATAATTTTATAATAATAATAATAATAATAACAATTAGTATATTATATAAGTATTAATTTATTAGAAAAATAATTGTATTCATAGTTTTTGTTTGAAACAAACAACAACAACAATATTAATAATTTCAAATGTATTACAAATTTTTATTTAAATAGTGAATAATATAGTTATTATTAAAATATAAAATTATGAATGATTTAAAAACTTTAATAAAATTAGCACAGTTTTCTGATTTTATACACAATGACAATAATATAATATTTGTTAAATATATTGAAAATATTAACTTTACATATATTGAGTGTCAAAATAATGATAATTTTGATAGTAAGCTAGCTAAATTATCTGCATTTAATAAATCAGATAATACATTTTATTTGGCTACTCATATTGATAATGTAATATCAATTTATTTTAATAAATTTATTAATTTTTGTTTCGTAATTTTAATTTATTTTATATTTATGTATTATCAAATTATTTTTAAAGAAAAAATAATAATATTTTAATTTATTTAATTTATAATTAAGATAAGATTAGAAGATACTAAAAACAATATTCTAACATTATATATTTGTCATGGTGATTTAAGTTACAACATCATACGTGAACTAGCAAAATTAGTAAATTATAGGTAATATATATATATAAATAAATAAATGAATAATTATTTAATTATAATTAATTTTTATATAATTTAAATTAAAGTGCTAATTTTTTATTAAATATATATATATTTATTTATTTGTTTATTTATGGCTGTAGTGTACATAGCTTTGTATTTAAATGTGATCAAACATTTAACGATTATGTGGGTTATGTAAACAACGGTTTGATTGACCTGGGTCAATTTGGCAATAGCTATGAACAGTGTTCAAAACAATTATCATGCTATAGACCTACAAGCTTTGACTATCACTTTAATTATTTTAGTTTACTTGATAAAGATATTATACCTGATATTATCTACATTTACAATGCACTTGATAGACAAATCTGGATACTATTAATTGTGCTTGTTACAATTTTAGTCACATTAAACATAATAAATGATAATGTCTTTAATAATTTTCCTAATAATACTAATAATATTTTCAATAAAATAACAACTGTGCTGGATTATATTTTCTTATATTTTATTCCATTAATAACAAACAAAATTTATCATAAAGTAAAAATTAATTCTCTATACATAATATGGTTACTATTTCTAATACCATTACTGGCAATCATTAACAATGAATTAATTAAAAACATTGTTATCAGGTTTGTTATCATATATATATTATAGTATAATAATTATTATTTGACATTAATTGTTATTTGTAATTTTTTTTGTAATTTTCTTTTTTTATTTAAAAAAAAATTAATAAATTACATTAAATTCTAGACCAACATATTCTATTGATACAATTGACGATCTACTAGAAATCAACAATGTAATTTATGCACCATCAAATTGGGAAGCTAACATTACAGTTTTACATGAATTGCGTAATGTTAAACTAGATAAAAACAATTATGACCATGATGATGATTTGTCATTGTACGATAAATTTGATCGACTATACAAACGTATTCAGATAATTGATTCGCAATTTATACCAAACTATCTTGATGATTTTAATAAACTAAACAAATTGCAATTTGTACGCAAACATCGTAGGGAAGTATTAATAGCACCCGAATATTTTGCAACGAAATATGAAAAAATTACACATTTGCCGACACACAGTGGACAACCCTATTTTCCATTATATACGACGCCATTTTGTCATCATGCTAGCAAATTTAAATTTACCAATATCACTTATCGACTGTTAGTTAAATTTATTTTTTTTACAATAATATAGCTAATTATCCTATTTTTGTTGTCTATAGTATTTCCAATTTAATTGAATCCTCTATAAGTACATATTGGTACAACAAGTTTGATATGGAAATTAATTATGTTATATTAAATGCACTTGAAAACTATGATCAACAATTATTTAAAAACATTTACTACGATGATAATAATGATTATGATGATGATTATATACCCTATGATTCATTAATAAGCATGGTACATTTGCAATCGTTATTCTATATTATTACATATTTTATGTTTGGTTTAATATTATTGGTTATCATTGAAATAATATTCAATAAATATTTCATTTAAAATGATATAATCTACTATAATATAATATATAATTATTAATTTAAAAATAATTTTTGCAATTAACTAGTTGTTTTTTAATTTATTTTAAAATACTTTATTTTAATTTTAATAAAACACATAAAATATTAAACTAAAGTTTTTTTTTAAAAGTCTTTTATTGATTTTATTTTAACAACTTTCATATTATTATTATTATTAAAATAATAATTATGTGGCTTATAAAATATTTTTTATCAATTATAAAATAATATCTATCATAATTTATTTTAAATATTAACAACAACAACAATTTAAATATTTATTTTATAGCAAAAAATTATATAGTCGTGCAATATAGATTAATGATATTTAATCTTTATTATAATAATAATAAAATACATTTATAATTTGTACAAATAGTTATTTATTTAACATTATAATTAAGAAAAAACATTTATTTATTATTTTATTTAAATAAAAATAATAATATCCTATTATTATCATTATAAAAGCATTTAATAATTATAATTATTACATAATTATGAGCAAAGTTATGTCTAATTAACACATACACACAGAATGTGATCCAAAATAAATTATTTGAATATATTTTTGGATATATTACTAATATTAAAAACTATATGAAAAATTGTTAATGAAAATAAATAAATAAATACTAATTTATTAGGTATATTATTGATTTTTTTTTGTTTTGCAATTATAGTTGCCAACATGTGAACATTAGATTTTGATATAATTAATTTTTTTGAGTTATATACTTTGATTAATTATGTTAACTATAATATAATATTATAGATACTGTATATGAATAGATAGGCAGTTCCTTATAATTTGTTGTTGGTGCTAAAATTTTATTATTTAAAAAAATAATATTTTCTACTGTAATATATTATAAATTTATATTAAAACTTAATAATAAAATTAATGAAATTACAAAAAATAGTTTTTTTTAATTATAGCATTTGGGAGTGGTCTATTATATGGTGTTGGGATTAGTCAATAATGACAATACATTTGACTTATTAAAATATTTTAGCATTGATTTAGCAAAGTCATTATTAGTGTCTTGATTTTCAACTAAATAAATTATTTTGTCGGTTTAACGCTTATAACTGGGACTTAGTATGTCCACCGAAGTTGACCAGTGGACGCTATTTCCGAAATTTTATTATAACTATAAATAACTATTTGTTAGGTTAGAAACTATAAAAACTTATAAATAACTATTTCAGTTATTTTGAAAAATATAAACATTAAATTGTAAAATATTGCTCAAATATATGTAAAAACAAAAAGTAATAGTTATATAAATTATATAAAATGCTTAAACTGTTATCAACTCATATTATTTTTTTAACAATAGAAATAATTAGTTTATTTATATAAATCATTTTTGTAAATATGCTGAAAACAAGTGAATTATATATCAGTTGAAATATTTATAAGAAAATAAATAACTATTTCAATAACTATTTGGCTTTTATGACAACTATATACAACTATTTAATACAGTTTAAATAACTATTTTAACAACTATTTGACGTTTTTTAGCAACTATTATAACAACTATTTAATAGAGTATAAAAAATTATTAATCAATACACTAGTCATTATAAAAGTGAAAGCTATGTATTTACAGTTCAAATTTATATCTATAAATATAAATATAAATTAGTGATTAGTATTATATTAATCATATAAAATCAAGTGATTATCTAATAATTTATAAAGAAAAAAAAGTTTTTTAAACTGCTACTAAATATAAGATATTAGTATTTATAGATAATTATATCGGGTACAGTAATTATCTTTGATTAGGAGTGATTCACATATTACATTCGCACTTAGGGGGGGGGGAGTGGATGAGCGAACTTTTCAAAATAGGATGAGAGAGAGAGAGAGGATATTTATTTAGTAATATTTTAATAATATTTTATTTTATTAGGAGTGGGAGGTAGAGACATATTAAAGTAATTTTTTTTATTAAATGACTACATGTGAACAATTGTAAATATACGGGGATCTAAATTTGTTTTAAAAATACGAACGTAAATATGAATCAGCCCTAATAAAAGATAATTACTGTACCCGATATAATTATCTGTAAATATATTATAATTATTTGTAAACATATTATAAATATCTGTAAATATATTATAAATATCTTATTTTTATAAGCAGTTAATAAGATTTTTTTTTCCATAAATCTATATTTTAATTTAATAAATAATTAGTTTTATACTGTTCTAAAGCTATTAAAAAAGCTAAAAATAATATTATCAATAATAATGACCCGAAAAAGTATGTCTGTCCTGTTTATACCGGTCGACTCTGTCGGTCATGTAAACTCTTGTATCGGTATTGGTCAACAATTGACCAGATCGGGACATAAGGTTACGTTTATGATTACACCTCAATGGACGGGAAAATTGGAAAAATACGGTTTTCAAGAGTTACACTATAATATACGTGGCGATACAATAAGTGCCGATGAAGATCCGGCCAAACTGTGGGCAAAAACAGTCAAAGATGAGGGATGTTTTCTGGATGAACCCACCATTAATAAGATGGTCGGCATTAAGACCTTGAGATTTAAAGAGTTTTGTCAAATGGCCCGCCAATTGGATCCCATTATTGTGGATAATATTGCTACAGTCAGACCAGATTTGATAGTATTAGACCAGATTGTTGGCTATCCAGCAGTTGAACAGTCGGGTGTGCCATGGATTTGGTCGTGCAGTTGTAATCCATTGTTTTTGTTTGATGACATCCGGACACCACCATTTGGATCAGGTATGCTATTATTGGTATTATTATTAATATTATTACATAATTAACTATTTAATAATAAACAATAGTAGTATAAAATTAATAAATTATTCTATAAATTATTTTTAATTAATTTTTATTTCTATATTAATAAATATCTAATTTTTTAAAAAAAAAATAATAAGTTATTTAAAAATATCTGTTTACTATTTATATAATATAAATATCGATAAAATTTATAAGTTATACTATATTTATTGCATATCTATATTACATTATATTTATAAAGATCTGATTAAAACTATTTTAAACTTTCAGTTTAAAAAAATAATTTACTTTTTGTTTATATTCAGGTTATTCAATAAACGGTAACAAAAATCAATGGCAAATATATAGGCAAACTGTTAACGACGCAACCCGTCAACAATGGCAACAGTTTAACGACTATTTTAATAGTAAAGGCTGTAAACCATTAGCCGATTGTGAATACTTTCATCTGTCGCCATATTTGAATATATATCCCTTTCCCATTGAACTGGACTACACTGATATTAGACCATTGCCTACAAATGTCCATAGATTTGATAATTTTATGCGAAATGAAAAGATAGATAAGTTTGAAATACCGGAACAATTGTGTGACAAACCGGGAAAACTCATCTACTTTTCATTGGGATCTATGGGTGCCATTGATGTCGACAATATGAAACGTCTGGCAACTATACTATCGAAATCAAACAATAGGTTTATTGTATCGAAAGGTCCGCTTCATAATGAGTATGACTTACCCGAAAACATGTGGGGTCAACAAAGTGTACCACAACTACAAGTACTTCCATTAGTCGATCTGGTCATAACACACGGCGGCAACAATACTATTACCGAAACCATGTATTTCGGTAAACCTATGATTGTTTTACCACTGTTTGTCGATCAGTTCGATAACGCACAGTGTGTTGAGGACAGAGGTTTCGGTGTCCGACTAAACCTTCATTCGTGTACCGAAAATGAGATGTTGTCGGCAATCGATAAACTATTAGCCGATAATCAATTGCATGAAAAGTTGGCTAATATTGCACAACGTATTCAATTGGAGAATAGTTTATCAAAATTGCCAAAAATATTTGAAAATTTAGTTTTTAATGACAAAACAACTATTAATTCAAATAATAATTATTAAATTAATTAGATAATGCTTTTTAATATTTTTATTTTTATAAAGATTATTTTCTTAAAATTTAGTTTCTTATGTATAGATTTATTGATGATAACTTAATAAATATAGTTAAAATATTGTAATATATTGTTTTTTTTTGCTAAATACTTAACAAATTTCAATTATTAATTTTTATTTAATAATTAATTGTTTTATTATATTAGTTTTTATATATATTATTAATATATATATATATATATATATATATATATATTTATAAAAATATTTTGCATTTTATTATTAATTATTTTTATATTACTTTATCGATATTTTCTAAATTATATTACAATTGTTTATTTCTCAATAGATATTTATAATTTTGTTTATTTATCTATTATATTAAATGACCATTAAATGACAATTATTAATTATTTAATTAAATAAATAAATATATTATTGTTTTCTATTTATTTAATAATAATTGTTAACAGCTTTGCCTATTTGTCTAACATGTATTATGATATAATTTTTTTAGTTATATGGTTTGATTAATTATGTTAGCCATATATATGATTAGATATGCGGCTATTCATAATTTTTATTGTCGATATTGTTAATATTTTTTAGTTATATTATATAAGAAATTTATAATCAAAAAAAAATATTCATAAAACAATATTCATTTCACAAAAATAAACTTAAATAATAAAATTATAAATAGTTTTGTCTTTTTAAAATTATAGTGCTGGGAGTAGTCAATAATGACAATACACTGATTAAAATATTTTGCCATTGAGTTTAAATTAATTTATATATAGTATATATAATTTTTAAAAATTGTAATAATTGTTTTTTTTGTTATAAAATATTAATTAGAAAAAATAAATAAAACAAACAGAATTCAGTTTATGTACTCATTTGTGGAGTCTTTGAATATTCAATAAATTATATTAAAATTATATTTTATTTATCAAAAATCTATAACTAAATGGCAATCATTGGTTTACATCACTTTACACTTTATAAAATAATATTTCACATAAACAAACAAGTACAAATTTTAAAAAAAATATTTAGGGGCTGTTCACATATTACGCTTGCACTTTTGAAGAAATCTAGACCCCTCCCTCCCTTATATTAGCAATTTTTCGACTGTTATCATTTAAAAAAATTACGTCCGAATGTCCTTAACCGCTACCCCCGCCCCCCACCACAAGAAATAAACTATTATCTAAATGCGAACGTTCTTAAAGTCTCTACCCCTCGCCTCCCCCTCGTTCGCAAAAGTTTGCTTTGACTAACCCCTCTACCCTCAAGTACGAACGTAATATGTGAACCATCCCTTATGATTTTATTTTATCATTGATACACTACTTACAGTTTAATTTTTAAAAGTGCAAATTTTGTACTGTATTTTTCAGTGCAAATATAGTGCAAATTTATTACAATAACATATAATGATATATATTATATAGTAATCTATATATAGAAATAAAAATTAGTGATTAGTATTAAATATTAAAGATATAAAATCATGTGATTATAAAATCAAGTGATCATCTAATCTATAGATTAATAAAATATAGACTTTTAATTAATGAAAGATAATTACTGTAATGTATATATAATTATCTATAAATATCTTATTTTATTAGCAGTTAATAAGTTTTATTTATAAATCTATATAATTCTTCATAAATTGTTGCGGTTGTGTTGTCTTTAAGGGACTTCCCAACCACAGGTAGTTTTGTTATGATTAGTTAGATCGGTCAATAGGACAGTAATTGTCTTAATTGACCGGTCAGTACACTGCGTGGGTCGGTATGAGACCAGTACTCGACACTCCAACTAATCAAAGTAACAGTTGTCTCGCGTGGGTCCGATTGAGACCAACAACTGATTGTAGTATCAACTGGTCGGCCAGTAATTGACTTAACAGTTGATGATAGGATTGCTTGAATGCCACGGTGTGTGTCACTCAAACAATAGACAGATCTGCAGTAGTGGTGACCCGAGTTAGGCCAGGGAGGAGATCCTAATATACTTGAATGACTTCTAGACTTCAGAGTTCAGAGTTCAGTTGACCAGAGGAACAGTAGATGAACTAGTGATGTGACGTTTCAATGACTTTAATCACAATTAATATTAATTCACTTTATTTAATAATAAGATAAAAATGTATGAATACAAGGGTTGTTAACTGTAGGTATTATAAGCACATGTAGTTGAGTGTAATGGTATGAATTACTGTATAAAATGTCAGTACAGTTTGGCGGTTAGGTATACACTCTCTATCAATGGTAGTGTAGCAGTACATTGGGTTTTTATAGTGTGTGAGGTACAGGTATGTGATGGTATTAAATGGGTAGCTATTGGTCAGTTCAAATAAAAGACAGTTGGACGGTTAGATCGGTCTAATGGTGCCAATAGGATGACCTAAATGACCGATCATACCAGGAATAGGTGTAAATGGATAGTTGTCGGCAATAAAAGTACTTAAATATAATATGGAATGCACTTAAAAATAGGTATCAATTAAAAGGTAAATAAAAATAGATATTCAAAATTATAGCTAAAAGTAATATAATAGATATCCTCAACACTCCCCCGCGTTTTAAGACTGATCCCGGAGGAAGTATGGTTCCAGTTGTCCGACGTGGATCAGGAAGGGTTCGGATGAGTCGTTGTATCGTTTAATATGCGCGTTGACTGGTCCAGGGATTGATGTCACGGTGAATGGTCCTTCATATTTCGGTGATAGCTTTTTGACATCCGGGCGATTGTATGGTATGCGCCGTTTAACGAGTTGTCCAACCTTTAGATCGATCGGGTGGTGACTCTTGTCATACGCTGCTTTAGTTCTTGCTTTGATGAGATCTGTACGGTGTTTGGCCAGTCTTCTGGCTTCATGTATGTCGGTTTGGGTATTCAATGTGTCTGTTCCATACATTAGGTACGAAGGTGTGAATTCAGTGACTGTATGAATAGTGTTGTTATAGTTATCGGTCACTCCTTTCAGTAATGTTGTCCATTTTCGGCGAGGGTTAGCCAATAAAGCGATTGACAATCCTTTTTTGACCGATCCGTTGACCCTCTCATTTGTACCATTTGACTGCGGATGATATGTAGACGTAAATAGATGTCTGATATTGTTATTAGTTAGGAATCTCTTGAGTTCTTTTGACTTGAATGTCTTAAAGTTGTCGGTTAATATAGCGTCAGGTGCGCGGCCAGTTGTTTTAATTAGATCGGTCAACACTGATATACATGCTTGAGCCGAATTAGTTGGCGTGGCTTTAGTCCAAATATATCGCGAGTGGTGATCGATAACGACTTGTATGTATTTGTGTCTTGAATTGGTCGCTTCACTGCCCATAACTATGGTATCCATAGCGATGAGTTTCAGCGGAAGGTCTGGTGTCGGTAATGGCTGTAGTTCACCATATGGTGTATGATTCGCTGGTTTTGCCAGTTGACAGATATGACATGACTTGACATACTGTTTAATATCGTATATCATTGATGGCCAGTAATAATGTTGTTTGATTTGCTTAGTGGTGATACGGATTCCTGGATGACCACTATTGTCGTGCGCTTGTTCTAATAATGGATATACTAGACTCGGAGGTATGATGGATAGAGTTCGGCCATACTTGGGGATGGTATACAGTTCATCCAAATTAGTTGAATGGAAGACCGATCGATTATCAGATGTTGATTTCGGTAGTGTTTGATCGGTCGATGTTACCACTCGAACTGGTTCTTCATATACCGCGTTAGCTTCGGTGTCCTGTATTTGATGTTGCAATATGACTTGATCACGTATAAAATAATTAATAGGTGCGCGGGACAAGGCGTCGACGTGAGCCATCTGAGATCCGGGTTTATGTATAACCTCAAAGGTATACAGACTAAGCTCTTCAGACCATCTGAAAAGTCGTTTTTTAGTAGATTGAAAATTAATAAGCCATTTGAGGGCCTTGTGGTCTGTGTATAGTTTGAAGTTGACTCCTTCCAAGTATATACGGAAGTATCGTATAGAGTCAAACACTGCTAGACATTCCAATTCGGTAACTGTGTAGCGTGATTCGGCGTCAGCGAGTTTACGTGAGTAATAACCGATCGGTCGGTCATTTTGGATAAGTATTCCGGCGATTCCTATTGTTGATGCATCGGTATGTAATTCGATAGGTTGGTTGGGATCATATATAGCCCGAACCGGTTCCGATGCCATCAATTCCTTGAGTTTGTCGAACGATTGTTGGTGTTGATCGGTCCACAGGAAGTCCTTTGATTTAGATTTTTTCATTAGTTGAGTCAGTGGAGCAGTTATAGTTGCAAAATCAGGAATATATTCTCTTAAATAGTTGGCCAGTCCATGAAAGCGTTGAACTCCCTTTTGATCGGTCGGCGTCGGGAAGTCCATTATGGCTTTGATTTTAGAATCGGGTGGTCGAACGGATTGACCATCGATATGATGTCCTAAAAATTCGATGTTATGTTTATCAAACTCACATTTTTCTTGTTTGAGGCGAGCGTTATTGAGAGCCAGGCGTTTGAATACTTCAGCCAATATGTTGTCGTGATGCTCCTGAGTTTTAGCGTAGATTATTATGTCGTCGAGGTATGAGATTACGCCATTGTTGTGTAAGTCGCCTAAAATCTTACGGACGACTCGGTGGAACGTTGCAGGGCTGTTCTTCAGTCCAAACGGTAGAACGGTCCACTCGTAGTGGCCGTCGCGGGTTACGAATGCTGTTTTGGTAATATCTTCGGGAGCAACGGCTACCTGCCAGTAACCCGAAGCAAAGTCAAGCTTAGAAAAGATGACCGATCCTTGTAGTCGATCGATAACGTCTGCGATGACTGGTAGAGGTGTCTTATCAGCAACGGTTACCGAATTGAGTCGACGGTAGTCAATACACAAACGAAAGGTGCCGTCTTTTTTGGGCGCCAAAGTAATCGGTGCTGCGTATGGGCTAACGCTTTCCCGAATTAGACCTTTTTCTAGGAGATCTTTTACTTGACGTGCAGTCTCAGCTGCCATTTGATGGGATTGACGGTATGGTCGCTGTGCGATTGGCTGTTGGTCTGTCAAAATGATTCGATGCTGTTCGATGTTAATGAGGCCTAAATCAGTAGAATCGGCGGCAAAAATATGTTTATACTCATTAACGAGTTGTTCAGCTTTTGTTGGTATTGTTCGAACTGATCGGTCATTTGATCGATCAGTTATAGCGTTTGTTATAAGATGACAGTGATGTCCGTTTGAAGTCCGTTGTGTGAAGTAATGTCTATCTTTAGACCATTTGTATGACACTGTCTTGTCATGGGTGTCGATGATAATACCAAAATGTCCGAGAGATTCAAGTGATAGAAGTAATGTATAAGCAAATCCATCGAGTATTTGCGATCGGATTGTTTTTGTCATTCGATTGATGGTAAGTCTGAATGAAACTTCACCGATGGTGCGGACCGATCCTCTCGCCAGATCGATCGATGTCCAATGTTTACGATTGATGTGAAGTTTAAGATGATTCGCTACATGTAATGGCATAATATTTACAGTAGATCCAGGGTCGGCAAATGCGGAGAGTTCGAATCGTCCTATTCGACCAGGAATTAAGATAATTTCTCGTGAATCAGATGCTGATGCCATAGTTTGATGACGGATAAAATGATTAGCTGATGCTTGAGATGGTTGTGGAGCGATGGCTGATCCATTATCATTTTGAGGTGCTGTTGGTTTATAAGGGCAATCCTTATGGAAATGCCATGATGTTAGACCACGGTCTCGGCAGATCCTACATGAATAAGGCGGTCGATTTTTATTTGATCGGTCATTTCGATGGTTAGGGTTAGGCCTTTTTGACCGATCATTGGACTTGTCCTGTGTAAAGTGAGAGCGAGGCTTGTGTTGATGGTACGATTGTTTTGTTTTATCGGCTTCGATGTCCTGAGCCATCTCTAACCAAGCATTAGTACTTTGAAATCTTCGGCCGTAAAAGTATTCTTTGTATTCGTGTTGTAAGCCTTCTGTGAGCAGATTAGCTCTTTGAGAGTCTGTATATCCAGTAACGCGACGAAGAAGTTTCATTTTTTCGTCGTAATATGTCTTCATCGGTTCATTACGCTGTTGCCGTCGGCGGGTGGCTCCTACTTCTGGAGGTATATCGCAATGCGAGTACCGATCGGTCAATAGTTGTTTGACTTTATCCCATTTAATGCAGGGATCGATCAGTATGTCTGATCCGAAATAGTTCGCGGCGTCATCGATGAGAAATTCCATAATGTGGTCGACTTTACGGTCATCAGTATATGTACGGTAAGCCCTTTCAAACATTTGGAGGAATGCTTCTACTTTAAGAGTTGAGTCCTGAGCACCACTGAATTTAGGAACTTTGAGAGTAATTTTAGTGGCCATGTGTTGGACGGTCGGATCGACGGATAGGTTTTGCATAGCCGTCGCCATTGTATTGTCGGTAGAAGTAGATGTGCTTTGAGTTGCAGGCGCTGCTGCGTTGCTCGTATTATCGTCAACCATGTTGTCTGTATTGATAATTTCTTGATTCGGTTCGATGGTATAGCGTGTTCCGTGTCTTGTGAATCCTGTAGCGTTAAGAGTAGTCATTCAGCGTAGATAGGGATCAATATTGTGATCCTGCCGACTGCGCCAATTTGTTGCGGTTGTGTTGTCTTTAAGGGACTTCCCAACCACAGGTAGTTTTGTTATGATTAGTTAGATCGGTCAATAGGACAGTAATTGTCTTAATTGACCGGTCAGTACACTGCGTGGGTCGGTATGAGACCAGTACTCGACACTCCAACTAATCAAAGTAACAGTTGTCTCGCGTGGGTCCGATTGAGACCAACAACTGATTGTAGTATCAACTGGTCGGCCAGTAATTGACTTAACAGTTGATGATAGGAT